CACTCCTAGAGAACTTCGTAAGCGTTTCCTTCCAAAATTCTGTGAGACAGGCAAACTTATCTGAAGACAAAAGAGTATTGCTGAAGGTTCAAAGAGGACAAAATTAAATAGTGGGCTGAGAGGAAATTATAAGTATGAAACCTACTAGAAAGATTATTCTTCCATGTACTGAAGTTGCCAAATGATTCTGCAAAGTAAGGGTTTGGGTTTTTGGTTTTTTTTGTGCTTTTTTTAAATACTGGAATTCAGTGGTGTTTATCTTAAAGAAAGAAATCAAAAAACCCTCTCAAATACAATGAAGAACAAGCAATATCAGAAACTCTTCTAAAATAAGGGATCAGAAAAACATCTCATCACACAGAAGATAATATTGTACATACAAGAATGACTGGCATTACATTTCCAAACCATTAACCTGCATCCCCTCAGGCTCCAAGGATTCCGATCTCAGGAACATAGTTAAAGAAAGGCTAAGTCCGTAAGAGTTGATGAATTCTCCTTAGCTTTTAGAGAATTTACATCATCACACACCTTTCTGTACACCTAGCTAACTTTAAAAAACAAAAAACAAAAAAACCCAACCTCTTCCCTTTTGTACATTTTCCCTTTTTTTTTTTTTTTTTTTTTTAAACCTGTAACAGACCCTGCCTACTCCCCATGGCAGCTTTAAAATAGAACACCATCAGCTACAACATTTTGTTATTTATATAAAGATCAGCCTTAGACATCTAAGGTATTTCGTGCTTGTTTCTCAAGATGTATTCTATTCCTTATTGAGTGGATACTACTGAAATTCTGCTTTTATGACAAAATGACCATATTTCTCACCAAATTGCATCCAATTGTAAACATTAACTGAACAGTGATAAAATCCTTGTTAGATACGGCACAACACTATCCACGTTCTCCAGATGGGAACTAATGCACAAACTAGCATTGATAATTTCAAACTAGACACACGATATTAATCAAATATCTATGATTTGAATACCTAGCGTGAATCATTCTTGTTCTGCAGCCTAACCTTGTGGTAACGTCTCTGCCATTGCAGTGAATGACTCCTTGTGCCAGTCTCATCTTCCTGACTGCCCAGATAGAGCCTCCACTCTTCTCAGTTGTCCCGAGGATGTCCTAATCTCATTTCTACAAATTCCTCTTCCCTCAAGCTGCAATTCTCAGCTTCCTCCTCACGTTCACAGTTTACTATCTCACACCGCAGCTGTACGTTCCCTTTTCATACTGACTTCTATCTTAAGTGGTTTTCCAAGTTCCTTGCCAGTGTGCGCTTTCTACAGCGCCTTCCTATCATCTTATTGAATTCAAGTCAGTGTGCCCTATTAGATCCTTATCTGATCTCAGAATTGTCCTAAAACTTGTGCCTAAGCCCCTATTAACAAAGGCGAACTCGCACAAAACTGCAAGCCCATGATGCAAAGTAAAGGGAATAAAGGTTTTGTTTGAAAGAAGTGAAAATAATTGACAAATCTTAAACATGAGCAAAGATTCATTCTCCTGAGCCAACGATCTCTGACACTGAACTGTTGAGTTGCTTTTCTTTTCTGAAAGGATAACCAAGTTGGAAAGTTTCAGCCCCAATATTTTTTTTTGTATTTTTTGTGAAAATAAAACCTATTTCTAGTATTTTCAAATGCAATGTACTCCAGTATGTTTCCTTATTAAAAGTCCTCTCCATTTTTTTTAAAGCTTTTTGAAATATTAGATCTGCAAGACAAATCGGAGTGTTTTACCTCACCATTATTTGTATTAGCTTCACATCAGGAAAACAAGATAAACAAATAACCCTCATGCACAAATCAATATTAGCAATAATGGATTCATTATAGAAACATGTTATACAATAACGCAAACAATCGTTATAGAGGAGTTACTTTAGCTTTCCTAATAATGCTCCCTTAGCAAAGCAAAAGTGCGTACAATAACGAGAAGGTATTTGTTCCTTGTGCCATTCTCTGCAGTTTAAATCTAAACATATATGCCAATGAAATACACTAGTGCAGAAAGCTGCATATTTATTGAAACACTAGTGGATTACATCCTGTAAAACTGTTGCAATAAGGAGCCATCTCATTTAATGCACATTTTACACTCTCACCAATGCAATGGAGCTGTGTTGATTTACAGTAGCTAAGAATCTGGTAATTATATGCTATCACTATTTATAAAGATGAATATAAATATTTCTGCATTCAAATTCTTAGACATAATTGCTAGCTTTGTACAAAAAGGAAAGCAGCTCATGCTGAGGGAACATCACCAAGAATGGTCTGGTATATACCACAAGTACATTAGAAATACTGCAACGTTCTCTAATTTTTATGCTCCTTGTGACCTAACTTGCAGCGATGATTAAAATCACTAAAATTAATAAATAAAACGTGATACGCTCTGAAAATTCAGTTGTGCTACCTGCATACAGATCATGTGGAAGAACCTAGGGTACTTGTGTTCTTCATTTGTACAAAACCCAGTATTTTTAACTAAATCCTATCCGCAAACAGTAAAAGCCATACTCCTGCATTTGCATTTAATTCTGTGAAGAATTCTGAGTGAATGCTTAAGTTTTTGCTTTCTTATATAAGTACCTTACTTGGATTAAAAAACGGTTCTTAAGGTGAACAACTCCATATGCCATCCTGTCATATCCTTTTTTTCTTTCTTTATATAGAAATAACATTTCCTAATGCAGAATCTTTGTAATCATGGTTTGGTAGAAACTCCTATTTTCAATTAGTGACTGTTTGTAGGCCTCACCTAAAAGCCACCTGTTTGATTTATAGCATCTTCGAAGTTACAGGAATTAAAATCTCCCATTTTACTCCTCCCTTCCCATTAACAGAGGATCTAAGTTACAGAGAAACACTATCATGTTCATTTTGGTACACGATCAAAATCAGAGCCTTCAAATTTCTGTCTGTAATCTGGGCTTTTCTGTCATAAAGTAAGGTAAACAAAAAGCTGGGGCAAACAGGCAGCACCTTTTCACATCTTCCAGCTTTAATTCATACTGCCCCTCTAACTCTCTTCCTCACAACCTTTTTTCCCCACATTTAGAAGGAATAAGCCAAAACAAAAATAAAGGAGGGGTCTCTTATAATAACTTTATTAAGATGTAAAAGGAAAAAGTTATAAAGTGACAGAGGGCCAAGGACAGCAGCAAAGATGCAGTACAAAGCCTAACTTTTAAATAAAAAAGTGCTATTCTTTCTTAAGAAAACAAATAACCTTTGAAGTCTGAAAGGACTGGTTTTTTTTTGTTGTTTGTTTTGTTTTTAGGGTGGAGCGTGAGGCTTGTTTTAAGTAAATAAGGATCATAAATCAGTAAGTCTAAAATAGTAACATATCTCACCCTTTTCAGATCTCCAAATACTGGAAACCCTAAGTCTTGGCAAAAGAGTACGCTAAAAGCTTTAACAAATACCAGTCTGTTTTAGAGCGTCAAGTTTGACCAAAATAACTACAATGAAGTTGCAGAAAAAGTGGTTCAACAACTACCTGAAAATTTAGACCACTACAAGAAATTCAGCCTGTACTGGCTGTACAAAGAAGGTGCTCCGAGCTGCTAAGGAAAGCCGTTCCTCTCTTGTCCTCTGGTATTCTCAAGAGGATGAATCCTCCTGAATTCTTAGGAGGAGTCAGACAACAGCTGACCCATGCCATTACGCCATACTGTTAGAACACTGAACTCTTTCAGATTAGGACATGACTAAAGAGTTGCAGAGCTTAGATTTCACTCAGCAATGCAGGAGATTAATCCCAGAGTCTTCTCTAGTCATGTTGAGGCTACCTCCCATAAAGGAGGCTGCCTTTACAAACCATACTGTCACTACCCAGGAGCTCTTAAGCTACACATCCTGAATTATTACTCCATGACTACCCAAAAATATAAGATTTACCAAAGCCATTCTTAAGAGGATATAGTCTCTTCCAAACCTGACCTGGCTTCAGCCTGAGATGGGAATCTTTCTAGGTTCTGATTTTTTCCCTTTTAAGTTAACCTTAAGCCTATATGCCTCTGGTCAAGCACCTAATATACTGCAAGAGACACAGAATCACTAATCTGAAATCCAGGGAATTACCAACTGACTTTATTTTTATATAAGTGCACAATGTCTTCAAGAGGATGCTGTTCTACAGTCTTATTCAGCTCTTAGAACAACTCTTAAAAAAAAAAAAGTGTCCTAAACAAACATTTTGTCATACAAAGCTTGCAAAAAAGAAGATAAACAATTTGACGTTTTAAACCAGTCTTTTCTGTGTTCTCTTCTACATTTCTCACTAACTTCAATCTTCATTCCCTCTGAGCTCGTCAAAAGAAACTATATATGCCTGCACAAATCACATGACAAACTAGAATTTATGCAAGACAATCAAAGTAGAGGTGCTTTTGCTTAAACAATGTCAAGTATTATACAGTTTGTTTTTTTAAAATCATTTTCAAATCGCATATATCACACTTACAAGACGGAACAACATGTAATGTTCAGTTTGACTTGTTAATGTACACTAGGTATGAATGCCATCACAACAAAGCTATTTCCAGGTTTTCCTGGGGTAAAAGAGGACCATCTTACAATGTGGTATTCCATAAGTCGCAGATGCTTACACTATCACTACATTCTACAAATTGTTCCACTGTCACAAGCGTAGTTAAATCTTGCTATACAGCAAAGCTCCAGCTCCAAATTTTCAACGTAGTCATGAGCCACGCCAACAACTTTTTCAGTTGAGATTAGCGAAACATGAATAATACTGCATATATTTCAGTCAATTATTAAAACCTAAAAAAATCTTTTTTTGGTACTAGATGCAACTCCTTCCTCTGACAATACTGCGATTAAAAAACTTGAATAACTGACTAGGACAAAAGGCCCTCCCCAGTTGCACCATATCTAACACATAGCAACATCTCAGTTCTCTTCAAAAGTCATTGTTTTACCCAAACACCAACATTCATCTCTGATGTAAAGCAATTTACTTACCTTGTGTCTGCATTTAAGTACAACACCATAGGCTCCTGAAACAAGAAAAAAGTTAACCCACCTCAAAACAGAAAAAAAAAGTCAGCAAAGTGAAACAGTTTTCAGTCACCTCTCGGCTATAGGAACAGTATTGTTCCCAGTATTATCCTAAACTTGCACATAAAGGTACCTTACTAAATATTTGTGCATTGAAACAATTTAAAAAATTGCTTAAATGTAAATGGATTTTAAAGTGCTGCAGATTTTTGAAAATATTCCTGCAGAGATAAGAATCTGCAAGATTCTGCACCTATCCAGTAAATACCACTGAAAGTTCTCATACTAAATAAAAAAAAAAGTTCCATTTCTTTCATCTTCCAAACTTTTTCTTCTGAGATTAAATGAGAAAAAGATTTAAGTAATAATTTGATATTTCTTAAGATTTGAATACAAATGATACTTCACGCTGAATTTTGCTAAACTAAACTTATTACCAAAGAGCACTCATTCAGCTCTATATAAAAGCAGAATTCATGTTTGATTAAGATATTACTTACCTTCACCTACAACCCCAAGGATCTCAAATTTATTCATCACATTACCAATGTTAGGAATCTTCATCAAGACGAATTCCTCTTATGGTGAGAGCCACAAAACATGGCACAGAGGGGAGCGTCCAAAGGTTCTACAAAGGCAATTGAGAAGTCTCTTGAAATGGCAGGGGTCGGGGGAAATCCACCTTGATCAACTGGACTTCTTGCACACTTTCCTAATTTCTAGGCAGTCAGTAGCTTCCTGGGGAAAGAAGAGGAAATAAAATAATTAGTATCTTGTTTTATTTCAATAAAAGAAAGCAGCGGTGTATACACTCTCAGTTTTGTCTAACAGAACGGCAGCAGACAGAATTAATTTACTTCTACATTTCATGGTCAAGAGAACTTGGCACGTATAAAGGAATGAACCCATTGAGAATATATATTTGACAGCACAGCTGGCTTTGTAATCCCATACTTGAGATGTCTGTTAAAATAATAAATAATTGCATTAAAAATATTTCCTACGAGGGAGGACAAAAAAGTTGCTGGGAGCTACTACAACGGGTGTAGATACACCAAAAAATACTCACATTCTCTCTTCAGTTTATTTTGGCAGATAGGTATTAAAATAGATTGTGTTTAGTCATTTTACTCTTTAATGACAGAAAGGATAAAGTAGAAAGGATACTAATCAATAGAAAATGTTCTGCTGCTATTATTCTCTATGATTGCTAAAAAAAAAAAAGGAAACTATTTGCTAGACTGACTGGCAACTAGTTTTAAAAGATTATAACCATTATCAGTTTATTTAAGAGAAATATAATTAAAAATAATTGAAGAAGTCAAATGCTAAATCAAGCAACTATATACAGGGAGAAGAACAATGTCTTTTGTGTCATGCTAGTTTAGACTCCAGTCATCTCTCTTCTACAGTCTTAGAAGGCTGATAAACTAAAAACATCCAGGTTTGATTTTGCTAGTTTAACTTGCATTTTTCCCTCCTAATATTAGGATGAATACCATACGGTCTAAAAAGGGGGGGAGGGAGGGGGAAGAGAAGCTAAAATAGTTTCACCAGGAAATGGAAATATGGAGTTTTCGCAATACCGCGCTCTGAGAACAGGACTACTCATGAGGAACAACATAGCATGATAAAAGTGAATTCATACGATTAACTTATGTATAATGGATGAGTGACCTAATGTTACTGGCTTCAGCTTGCACAAACAACTAAACTGTTGTTTTAGTATTAGCTATGGGTGCTGGCAAAAGCAATGCCGTGACCGAGTCAAACATAACAAAGAGCACGACACAGGGTAGAGGGAAATCCTGCTGAGGCTAGTACTATGGAAGGTAAGTTTTGGGGGATTGTGTTTTTTAATAGCAATTTAAGAGTTAATCAACCAGAGTATTTCGGAAACAAACTTTGAAAATGAAGAAGTTACTAATTCCTTAATATAATAGTTTGGTTACTTAATTTAATGTTTTTAATTAATCAATATTTTTATTTTACTTGTACATTTTATAAAATATCCTCTCTTTTCCCATCCATACACTCTTCTCCCATCTCATTTTGCTTCTCCTTCTCACAAAAACCATTGTGCTGTTCGTCCAGGCTTTCTGCATACAGTAGCAAACCATGAAATGGGCTCATGGATGAGAAGGCCCATCTGATCAGTTGTATCTATCAACATCAGAACAGAACCCTCAGTGAGCTGTTTTTGGCACTCTATTAAAACTGGTTTGTGCTAAGCAAACAGGCACAGCTAGCTACCCACAGACTGTAGATTAGTAATGGGAATACTGCTAGAAAGACCTTGAAAGAGCCATTAATGCTACAACATAAACAAGAAAACAAAATAAGGCATGTCCAGAACAGCAAAAATATTTGTCAGAAAAAAAGGAACATTTAGGAAACATACATCCTGTTTTCTATTAACACTATTCAATAATGTCACCAAATCGCCTACTTCAGTTCTGAAGATGCGCTGAAAGTTTCTGCATTGGCAAGCCTTTCTAGAAGCTATCTTGTGGCCAAATTCATTATTTTTCTGCTTATGTCATTACCGCATACTGCCATTCTGCCTTACAATGCACACAATGCCTTTCTGATCTAGTACGAAACAGTGAAGAAGCTCGTGAAATACATGTATGTATCAAAAAACTTTACAATAAATTTAGATACAGGTTCCTTTCTTTCCCTTCATTTATAATTTCTAAAATTTTAGACAACCACTCACATCTCGGGAATATAATTGTAGCTTTTAAAAATCAAACTTTGCTGCCTGCAGCTTATGATTGACATTTTTTAAAATATAGTTTTGCAAGTATAATCAGTATGTATCCCATATTTTTATGGGGAATAAAGGTCTGATTAACTGCAGCTATTTACTAAGCTAACTTTCCTTTCTGAAATTTGGTACTACACAGCTCCCCACAAACATGCACTTGCCTTCCAACTGTACAGGTTTTTTGTTTGTTTGTTTTTAAGTAAGAGCTGTAGAAACTTGCTTTGCTCATTACATTAGTGCTCCTGGATGCATGGCATCCACAACAGCATTCACGTGCGTTTGCCTATAGGAAATTATAGGTCAACTCAACTTACATCATTCATACGAACATTCATAAACCAGCAACAGTAAACTTTGACTATACCAAACACACAAACGAGTTTAACATTCTATCCAAAACGCATCCCAACAGGCAGCACAGGTAATATAAATGCACACCTAATGGAATTCTCAAAAGAAAACTCCTCTTAAATGTTTTACATGAGCTCCACGGTAACCTTTGTGCACGACTCTGCTGTGAGCACATTATTATAACATAATCGGGAAATGAAAAGGAAATGAAAAGGACAGCTAATGAAAAAGTCATCAGAAGAAAAATGACACTCAGGAGCAGCAGGTCGTATTTGAAAACCTGTTTGCCCTAGCTATTTTGTCACATCTCCTCAAGCAGGGCACTAATTCGGGCTGAATTGAAGTAAACAGGTAGCTTTGCCCATCTAATTCCTACCTACTCCACTGTTCTAGCTTTATCAAATGTAATGAGAAGCAGAAAAAAAACCCAAAAGGCATTATTTGCTTATTGCGGACATGAAGCCTAGGTTTGTTCTCTAACCATACACAAGAGGAGCTGGCTAAGAGAAGCCTCCCACAATATTATCCTTGTTTTCTCGCAAAGAAAGAGCTCCAGCTACTTCAAGACAAATTGTGCACATTTTTTTGAGATTTTTGCTATCAAAAGCTGCTGAAAGACTAAAAAGAATCACTATGAATACTGCAATCTTTGCCTATTGCTTAAAATACGTGATAAACGACAGCAGCCAGGGAACTTTGCAGGGGGTCTTCTTCTTTTTAAAGGGCACTGGCCTTGTTAAGACTGTTGCAAGTCAAAACTACTGATTCCTGCAGGGAATCTGATAAAATGATCCCAACTCCACGAACCAGGTTGACAGTCTTGTGAATGATAGATGGAGTAACTCTAAAACAACCTTGAAGTTGTAACCAAAAGATAATTTTAAAAAATTATCCACAGCAAGAATTACTTTATTCTGCAACTTCGTGAAGACAGTCTGGATTCTTTAAAGAGGCTGAACACTGGAAGTAGACCTGCAACGAAAACCTTACAAACAGCAATCACAAATTCTCTCTTCACAGTGAAGAGCACACAGGTCTGTTTTAATATTGTTGGCAATTTTAATACTGTTAATTAAGTTGCCTGCTGGTAAGAACTATAAACCTTGCAGAAGAGGAAATAAGGCCATTCTCTACCTCTCAAAGGTTCACAATGGAGAAATAGCACTTGTTCCCTTAAGATCACTTCCTGAGGCAAGGAGATTCATGGCACATCAAAAGTTTACAAATGAAAACAACAGATCTCTGAGATGGTCCCAATGTTATCATGACATTCTTGAAAACCCTGAGCCAATTTAGAAAAATGAAACCCCCTGAAAGGAACAAGCACAAAATAGTCTCACTTAGTGCAGAACTGTGATTGTATGGAATTTTAATAAAAATTTTTTTATAACAGCATGTAAGGCTTTTATATCAAATACAAAGAAACTGCAATCATGCTGGGAATTAACATATAGACTCTATTTTACTGATGTGGTGCCTGATCATTTGCATTTAAATTAAAACAAGGAAGGAGAAAAAAAAACAACCTCACCCTTTCCTCAACTCCATTTCTCCTCATGACCATTAAGAGCCTTAGAGCATCACCCAAAAGCATCTAACTTTCATATTCTCACCAAGGCTTGAATCCTAAATAAAAATGATGCAAAAAAACCCCAAATTTTTTTTGCTAAGATCTGTCTAACTACGTAATCAGAGCAATTTACTGGGGGTTATTAAAAAAAGTAGACATTTGTCCTCATAAATTTTGCAGAAATATAACTCTGTTCTTGAAATACAGAGTTAGCTTTTGAAGTACCATTTATTTCATACATCAAGACAGAAAGGGTGCAATCTTGACCCTGCTGAAGTCAGTTATAAACTTCTATTTGACATCAAAGTCATCCATTAACTTTTAGAAAAGCTTCCTACCAATAACCAAATGCCCCTCTCACTCTTCTAAGAAATAAACTTAATCATTTGAGGTTTTTACAACTGATTATTTTTACTCACTCAGAAGATGTGACTCAGAATTTCTAGAGGCCAGCTACACTTTTATCTGTTTATTAAGAAAATACTAAGTCAGACAAACAAACATAGAACAATTTAAGTAAGTGTCTGTCTTTAATAGTTATAGATTAATTCAAACCCTGGCACGTCTTCTGTCGCACAAGGTACACATATGAAAGGAAGCATTAACTGCCTCTATTAGTCATTACGTACCACTAGTACTTCTTCCTTCTCCTTCCTATTATGTGATGTTCTATTTCTTGGCATTTTCCAGGAAAACACTAACAACAATAGAAGCACCTGATCAAGTGTGTGATCAAGGAGCATATACAAGGGACAAGGGTAAGAAGACAGATGGAGATAGTCTTCTGTATTTATTAATCCTGAAGAAGGTGCCAGGAGTATTTTGATTTCTCTTACTGATTAGGAAGAACGAATTGAGTATTTGAACAGTTATAAGTGGGAAGTTAGTAGTAATATTCTGATTGGGAGACTGGAGTAAGAGGAGCATGGCTATATTGCTAGCGATGAAGTGAAGTCAGGTCGATTGCTCCATTTTGAATGGAGTCGCCACTTTTTTTCCCCATTTTATAAAGGGATAGTAGACCCTCTAATGAGACAAGGTACAGGACAAAGAGCCATGAAGACTTCATAGTATGAACCTCCCCACACCTGCACAGTTTTAAAAAGCGAGAGAGCGCGAGCGCGCGAGAGCAAGAGCGCGCGAGAGCGAGAAGAATCCGTAATTAAGTAGGCAAGCCTTTATTCATACTCTAAGCTTCAATCTATCTTCTTCTGCTCATCAAAAAGGTAGGAATGAAAAAGAGCAGTTGGTGAAAATAAATGCAAAATAAAAAAAGCTTGTTAAACCTGAACACACTCAAATCTGAATTACGTGAGAACAAAATACTAAAGTTGCTTGCACCAGCTCACAACATGAAGTTTTTAAAGTTTAATTCCAGTAAGCTTTTATTTACCACACTAATATCATCACTGGAACTTAACTGTTGGGGGGGGCGGGGTTATAGCTGTTGATACATTAAAACTGCCAACTCACCTGGATGACTGATACGTTATGGTATGTCATCTTACCAGAACCGATACACAAGGCAAATACTTCCCCCATTCCATGCAAAATACTGCAGAAAAAGAATGAATCTGAACAAAACTATCATCCTGCAGCAAACAGAAGACTAGAAAATAGTTTGAATCAGTTCCAGTCTATTACAGATACCTGTTTGGTTAAATTCCCAAAGGAAAACTGAGCTTGGAGACCAAAATACCAGTTATGGTTCAGTTTGTTTCATCCTGTTCTGCTAGTGCTCTTCCTTCTGCATGCAAGTAGAGATTCAAAAACAAATTCACCTCACCTCGTCCTGAATACATAAACTAGACTCACTTCTTGGGGTTAAAATGCAGGATGTATGAGCTTCCCTAACAGCTGTAGCCAACTTAGAAAGAGTGGGTGCTTAGCAGGATGCTTTCACAACCATAGCGACAAGTAAGCAGACATTATCAGAGCGTTGAGCACACAAGCAGTTCCCATGAGTCATAACAGAAGGGCAGGAAAGACAATTTTGCTTCCATTTTAGTCTTCTTCCTCTTTGGTAAGAGCCTTAAGAAATCCGTCTATTGTGGGTGTGACAGTTTCATACGTGCTTTATGGATGTCCTTACGCATGCTGGGCATTCTTCACCACACCTGCAGCAACTCTTACTAAAGAGAGCCACTGTTCAAAGGATAATACTCACAAATGGCAAGCCTTAGCAGTTTCATCTGGCACAAGACAGACATTCACTTCAAATGGAAGTGCCCAACTTTGTAGTGGAAGGAAAGCACATGTCTGCTTACTGAGACTCTTTTAGGTAAAGGGGGCCGATGTATACTTTTTTTTTTTTTTTTAAAAAGATAAAAGAAGCCTTATTTGACGACCGAATATCTTTCTCACGGAGGAAGCTAATACTTCCCCAAACTAATAAAGTATTTAAAGTGTTCCCACTGGAAAATGCTTCTTTCATTTTAATTTTTCCTTCTTTCATCTCAGAACGCTGCTCTCCAATAATATCCTATACTCATTTGTTATACTGCTCACTATTTAGTCCCATATTATCTTTGACAATCTGCCATGGACTTTAAATCTCCAGGCCATACAATAACATTACTGGCATAGCTTTTTCATCTTTAATAATTACCAAAAAAGCTACTACATTCAAAGAGTTTCATATTAAGTATCACTTTGTGACTCAAGCCCACATTTGTGTCTGAAGTTTCCTGATTAGAAAAAAAAAAAAAAGATTGAGCATAAAAGTCTTCACCACAAAAATAAGTGAGCGTATTCAGGCAAAATCCTGAGCAAAGGGAATTCTTGCCCAAGAAAAGTATAATACATTATCTTTAAGGAAACACATTAGAAGCACTGAACAGCCAATGAACTGCAGAAGTGCTCTAGGGTTTGAGCTAAGCAGACCTGTGGAAAGAAAGGGGCTCTCAAGTTCTCCCATCACGCTCTCTGGCAGCATTACTATCAAAAACCACTCTGCTACTCACTCCTCAGTTTCTTGTCCTCAATTCTGTCCAGGTTCCCATCTATAATGGTAGTAATTACTAATTCTGCACCAGCAATATTACAATACCGTGCTGTCATCAGACAAAACAACAGACGTAGAAGACCCGGTCACTTAAATAAAATCATCTGGCACCTTCATAACTGGGTCAGCCAGCAAGTCTTTCATATATGCACACGCAAAGCAAACTAGCGATTTAAAAGTGCTGTCCCCTAATAAAAAGACTGACATTCTGTTAATCTTACCAACTTTCTCCCCCCTACCAGCCCAGTTTCGCTTTCATTGCTCTATAAACTAACTCTCATTCACTTTCTAAAAATCAGATGTTACTCTGTCCAGAAGAACAGAAAAGCAAAGGTGAATATACAGTATTTATAAATATCAAATGAACGCTGAAACTAAATTCTGTGGTTATTCTAATACAGATCAAAATAACCACAATGACTACTCTTCCTTGTAATTTTCAAACATATCATTACATACAGATTGCTGGTTCACTATCTGAAGAAAGAAAACAAAATAAGAAATTACGTTTTTCCTTTAAAAAGGCATTCCACAGATTTGGAACAAACAGAAAAATATGATGGGGAGAGCCCCACAAATTTTTAGTGGTAAATTAATAAGAGAAAACACTATACACCCTAAGGAACAGAAAAAACCAAAACTCTAATTAAGCTAGTAAAACATTTATCAGATCTCTACCATTTGTTCTTGATGCGTCTTGATGCGTTTTCCAGATAGTCAGAGGCATTTGACTTAAATACTGCCAATTCATCTCCTGCAAGATTAATCTTGCAAGGAATGCCTTGAAAATTTTTCAATAAAGGACAAAAAGCAGCCATTCAATTACTGTTGTAACAACAACAAGTATTTCACTTGTTTGCCGAATTAATACAAACAAATTAATGGGATATACCAGAATTTTGCCTGCCTTAAGTTCTTCTGAGAATTGGTTTCACTTCCCATCTCAAACACTGAAAAGTCAAGAAGGCAGTATTCTGGTTTTCTCTTGGACTACACAAACAAAAGAACAGTTAGCCATTTATTAAATCTTCAATTTTGCAGAAAGTCTCTTTTATTCTGCATGACATTTATTCTCCATCAAATAATCTGTGGGTTTTGTTTGTTTTAATAAACAGTAACTTAATTGTTAAATCAGATTCAACACTGGTTAATATGTCAGGAACTACTCCCTCCTAAGAATCATTGCCTTTGATATTTTAATAATCTTCCAAACCAAATATAATGCCCAGCCACCCAAACGCAGGCCACTTCATGAAGAAATTCACATCAGTAGGCAAGCGCACGTATAGGAAACATATTTAAAGAGACAACTCAGAGACTTATCATAATTGTTTTTTTTTTTCCCCAGAAAAGTTACTAGGAGCGATTAAACCACCTGGTAGGCAGTATACATAGATTTTTTTTTTTTTAATTAGATAAAGTCTCTAACTCAGTCTACCTCAAATCAACTCACTCCAAAACAAACAAACCAAAACCCAAAGTCCCACCAAACTGAACCCTGTGGAAACATCTCGCTGCACGAAACTCAGGAGTGATCCTCCTTAATGTGAATTTGAAGATATTACTACTAATTCAATATGCATGAAAGGCTATTCCAATGAATTTACCCTAGATTTGCAAATTTCAGAAATAACATTGAGTATACTTACCATATATACATCTGAATATTTTCAGTATTAACACTTTATAGCGTTTTTGATTATGCTGTCTGTTACCAGGGTACCTGGACACTGCCCACATGTTAAAACAAAACAAAAAAACAAACCAAAACAGAAAATCCACCACCACACACACACACACCCCCTTTCCCACCATTCATGGTTGGAAAGGGCCTGTTAAATAGAAAGTTGAACAAATCCATTAAGCGAAATCCAAGTCAGGAAGCTCGCTTTCCAAAGAGGTGCAGATTGCATTAAGACCTTTGGCCATTATAACTAGCAGAAGTTAAACCAAAAAAAATTCACATTCCAAAGAAAACAAAAAACCTCAAATCTCTATCTCAATCAACATGAGCTTTCTTTACCAGAGAATGAAAACTTTGGCTCTTCTGGAATACAGCACTCACAGAATGTCCTGGAAGCAGCAGCAACGTAGCAGGTACAAAAGGCAATCCTAGGGAGGACTTTGAACATCTAGCTGAAAACCTCGGAATGACCTTTGCATTCAGTGCAAACCTGCTGCAGAGAAAGTACAGCAACAGAGCAATCAACTCGTGCTGCTACAAGAGATGCACTCACTTTGAGGTACCTAGCACACTTTTAAATAGAGGGACTTCATTCTGATAAGTAAACTAAAGCAAAGGTATTTGGAAGACATATTAATGTGATCAAGTTTGTTCTCTGAAAGTGTAAGCACGACCTATCAGTGAAGTAAAAAAAAGCCAAAAGACATCAGATTGAACTTATGATCTCATCCAAAAGCAAGCAAAAATCAGCCTGATAAGAGTCAGGCAAAGCAGTGAAGACCAGAATATGACCTTGTGAACAGTGTATGGATATTAATGAAAAGTTCATCTGTACAAAATAAAAGCACACCGGGAGCAACACTTACTCATTCTTACACTATTTGTTTTATCTAAACACAAAATTGAAGTTCTATTGAAATTATAGCAAAAGCGTGTGTGGGAATCTACCTTTGAATATTTGTACTTAACAATAGTAAGAACTAACGGTTGCTGTTTTAAAACTTAACTGGAATGTCAACTAAACCAGATGATCTTTTCCAGAAAGACGTGAGCAAGCTATCCTTGTGCTCCAAATTGAGAAGGTGCAAGTCAGCTCTAGGCTGGAAGACGTCTACTTGTATTAGCATGCTACAATGCCTGGGATGGTTCTGCTAAGAGGAAACAAGCAAAAGACTACATCCAGTATAGATGAAAGGAAACTGAGGTACCACTAGCATAATTATAAAGGTTGACAGTCTCCCATCACATATAATTTATCCAGGGACAGAGGTGGATCACGGCAAGGCTGAACACAAACCAAGCTTAGAGCACTGCAGAGAGCTTATTGCCTTAAAACAAAACAAACAAAAAAACTGTTTGAGAAAGTTATTTAAACTTATAGAATACCTCTCCCTCTTATACCCCTCCTCCACACACGCTATGAATTTAAGCTATGGTGGGGGAGGGACATTTGCCATTTCTAAACTTGGTAACTCTAATTCTATAGCTACACAGATGAGAGTTTTGATTACTAGAGAAATTTTTAAGAAGTTGCTTATCCAAGTTCAGATTTATAATCTATATTTTATTTCTAAAACTTAATGGACTACAAAGCACCTGTTATGAAAACGGATTGCAAAGACTTTTAATCATTTGCGATGTTTATTTTTCCTCCCCTGTTTCTTTCAGCTGCTAGATCCAACTCTTGGGGCTTGTTTTTAAATCAGATTTTAAGTGCTTTGGTAAAAATGAAATGAAATAAAATAAAAACTTTTTTCCCCTCTAGGTGTTGCCATAAAATAAGTTGTAAGAATGTCATATTTGAAACCATCCTATGGTACTGATTCTTTGCATAAATAGAAGTGCTGTGTGAAAATACGAGTCTGAGGTAAATGAAAGCCACATCATATGACTCAGGGAAAACAAACTTCAAAACCATTAAGAGACAGTTTGCTTCATCTCTGGAAACGCAATGTGGCAATTATTTTTGACTAATAAAGTTGCTTTGATGCCAGCCTCTATAATAACTTAAATAACTTAATAGATGCTAGTATTTACAAGTTAGTCACTATTTAATGTAAAGTGAAGACTCATTGGGACTTTAGACATCTAAATTCAAAGATGAAGTACCAATGGAAAGAGTACTTAAGTGTAGCTAGGAAATGACAGGGCTTTCTCGCAAGTAGACTGCTTCATGAGCGTTAATAAATCCTCCCTCTGACATGCCAATGGCTTCTTACTTCCGAAATGCCAATGGCAGCAGAAGCATGTTTGGATATGTAAGTGACCCAAAAGAGGGACTTGAAAAACAGGTCTTGAAGAAAGGGAGTTGCATCTAAACAGTAAACAGAGTTGGCAGGCCTACCAAAGGACTGGCAAAAGCAGCTTATAATCCTGATTTTCATCTTACACGACTTTCTCAATCTTTCCTTCCCTCCAAGTTTAATTGGGGGGAGATTAAAGAGGGAACACAATGCCTGTGGCAAACGGAAAGACGTGTGGGTGAAGGCAGGAGGGGAAAGGAAGCTATTGTATGGAAGAGGACAGTGAAAGGCTGGCTTACGGTAAAGTCCTTGCATGAAAGAAGAGACTGGAAAAATACAAGCAGAGGATGCTTTAGGCACAAGCAATAGGTTCATCTTGAAGAAGTTACAAGATCTGAGATTTATGTGATTAGCTTACAAGAAATATAGACTTACATGGCCCACAAGTCACTATTTGCATAACTGACTTTTCTGTTTCTAGAATATTCCCTTTTTGTTTGTATGAATAGTCCGAAAATTGTAAGGGAAATACGTAAGTGGTATTTTCATTAAGTGCAAAGGAATTTGGACAGATAAGTCTATCCCAGCAAATTGCTGTTAGGCGGCTGTAAAAGGAAAGGGAAGTCACAAAACCAAAGGAATAAAGCAAAAGCATTGGGTACACCGTGAAAAGAAACAATTGTCTTTCAGAGGACTGAAAAGAACTTCCCCAAGTTCACTTATATGTAGTGAAGGATGCCGCTAGTGAACTTCCTTGGTAAAGGACTCTTGCAATCGAAATCAGAAAGATGAAAGAGCTGGCTCTTGTTTACAGTACACAGCAAGCTGTACAGAATCATATACCTATGATGACTATAAAATAGGCTTAAAGATTGCAAATTAAAATTAAGAAATTAAATCTGAAGAGCAGCATATAGATACAGCCCATAATCTATTACAAACAGTAATTAATCATGAAGCATTATTGACCCCCATACCTAATACACGGAGCCAAAAAAATCACTGCCCAGCAAGTGGGAAGAAAACAGACAAGATTGTCTTTTTAACTATACTATATTCTTTCCATTCCCTTTCTCCATTTCTCATGTTGGAAGAGTAATCCCTAGTTTTCTTTGTTACCCAGGCACTGTGGGGGATATGATACCTACTCAGATAAAAAGATCGGAAATAATTCTTGCAAAGTTCTTCGGATTGCACTAAAAAATTTGCTCTTTTCTAACAGTACCCCTTTCTTTGCTCCTGAGATTGCATACTAAACTGATTTCAGAACAAGTTTGACACTAATGGACTTTAAGCCTCTTTTGGTACTAGCTACTCATTTTCTATTCTCCTGTACTCATAGCTTAAACAGGAAAAAAAAGTCTAATTTCCAGGTGAATATATCATTGTAGGTTATTTCTTCCTACTAGTACCAAATAAGAAATATCGTGCTTTATCAGTACAAAATACAGAGCTGAATACCTATTGGTAGACAGCACATATTTTCCTAATACATAGGAGACATTTCCCACTCCAAATGAACGGAACTGAAAAACGTTCAGATTAGGTAAGAGTCTCCATCCTGAGATGGAATTTCAAATATGGGATGTTAAATGCATTTCTTTCTCTATTTGCATTCACTTTTTCAGCTGATCAAAACGCTCAGTAGTTTAGAACACCACCATTTTTCTCTGCTCACATGCTCAGATTTTTTAAAAAGGCAAAATACACTCCAGACACAATGACATTTTGCAACATAATGTAGCTAAAGAATTTTTTCCACGGGAAGGTATTTGCTAGGCTATAGTAACTCTCTTAGTACTTTTAAGGCTTGAAACACACCTTCTGTTGAATGCTATGAGTCAGTTTTAATGACACTGTTATGTTCTATAGCTCTGTAGCTTATGCAAGAGAATGAATTTGCATTAAGTACCCAACTTTAGAAGCCACCTTCTCTTTTCCATTGTTAATGCTGAATAATAGTAAAAAACAGGCTATACCCCCTGCATATTTTTATAAAACAATAAGAGAGTAAGTCTAATTAGCTGCCTGTAACACAGAACGCATATAAAATTTTTGGTATTATCACCTCATGGACACATACTATTCTTTTATGTTTTTATATAATTCTTGCAGAAAGTCAGTATACAGAAGAATATAAAGAACAAACACAGGTTTTCATATTTAGTCAAATTGCAGAATTTCAGTCAAGTGTTACCTGATCACTGTTACTTCTCTTCCTTGCCCTGCTCATGAAAAAATTTACAATACCTTAAAAGTACTTGAGTTCGAACAAAATTAAGAGTTGCTTCACAGAAAACGAGGACAAAATACTCCAACATGCCAACAATGCATGGACCAGGCCAGGGGCGGGGACACAATGGATCTATTGGTACTGGAAATAAACTCTGCAGAACCTCTTCCCTATTGGTTATTTCTTCTATTTTTGGTGTGAACTTGGCATGAATTTTTTCATAACGGGACTAAAAATTATCATCTAAGTCTTGTGAAAGATGCAGCAAAACAAACATTCTGCTAAGTTTGCAGATTAACTTTTGAAAACTATTACTATTCTCACCAGGGCAGCATGCAATAGATTTGACCTTATCAAGGCATTCAGCAAGAAAAAGCTACAACGCAAAATCTCTTGCCTTCATGGGTCTTTTACTTCAAACAGTGGTCTATTCTAAATATGCTCCTCTTTCATTTCCTTCGTCCCCTCATTTAACTCAAAACTCCCTAGACCTACCTGTAACAGTAAGTTATGTTTATGCTGTGGCATTTTTTCTGCTGAAATTTTGATTTCACTTAGCTCAGCTTGACAAAGTGAGGGTTTGGAGGATTTGCTCCTGGAATTACAGTGACTGGCAGATGTCATAACTGCTTCTCATACAAACCAATGGTCACATACATTCATACACAGATATACAAAGTTAACATAATTTTTTATCTATCTATATATAGACACAAACATACACGTGCATGCATCTACGTTCATTGCATACGTGCATGCAATGAAAGGGGACCAATTCCTCCCTCTAGCAAATTTATTTTCCTAGAACTCCAATTAGATCACC